GCCGAATAGCTGGATGTGCCGCCCCTCTCCCGAGCGGCCGCCCCAAGCACCTGCTTGACAAGCTGGTGCCTGGAGCCGGCCCTGGCTACAAGCAGTATCAACAAGTCCTCTGTGTCTGCTTGCCCCTCTTGAAAGGGAGTGGGTTATAATGTACACTGGGGACAGCATGGCTTCATTTGAGGTGTCAGGCAAGCAGGCACAGAGACTGCCATCTGCTTTCTCCGAGACCCCTGGGATTTATAGGTCTCGCTTCTCCCCCACTCTGATTGCTAATCCTTCCCTTGGAGGGAAGGATGCAGAGAAAATCTCACAAGAAAAACCTCTGTTTCCCGATGATTCCCCTTCCACAAGTCTTTCTGCAGGGCATGAGCACCTGGTCCAGGGCTATTAACTATTTTCCTCATTGCACATGCTTAATGACTCACTCATAACATTGTTTCTGCTATGCATATGGGCATGAGACAATTATCATGCCTCACTTGATCTGTTTTAGGTTAAATGGGTTATATTTAAATGATAAGATGGGACTTCTGCTTATAGCATTTTATTTTTATTTTTAAGTGTCAATAATCTTTTGAAATCTTATCAAAAGCAATTTTGAGATGTTCTTTTGCTTTGTAGCTGTTAGTCACTAGCAGGAAATCAAAGCCTGTATTTTCTTTTCATCTGTTTGTATTTTTATTTCAGTGGTATCAGTTAATATAAGGCAGCTCTGAGCATAATGTACAAATTAGGAGAGGTTTGATGAGGCAAAATGTTAAATGTCATAACAGGTTTCTTTTCCTCCTGCAGGTATCCAATTAGTTTGGTTGTCACATAAAAGAATGTGGCTTGAGCTGATCATTCTTTTAAAGTTTGGTAAGTGCAAATACTTTACACATGTCCAGGCTAAACCTTTTTGGTTAATATTGTGTAATTTACATATTTTCCCAGCCTTTCATTACATTGCTTCATCTTTCCTCTAGTGTTTTAAATGGTTATTAAATTCTACTGAAATATAGTCCTGGTTAGACACAGGTGCAACACTACAATAACTCCTCTTTCCAGCACCTCCATTCCAAAGACCTGATTCAAAGTTCATTAAAGTCAAAGGAAACACTCCCATTGTATTCAATAGGCTTTGGGTCAGGCCCTAAAACAGGTAACCCATGCCTGCCAACAGTTGATAAATGTGAATCTGGGAAGCAAAGCAGGGCAGATTAATCAAACACTCCTATTACTTGACCACTGAAAATGCTTGTAAATAAGCTGCCTGTCTGAAATATATCCTAAGCCATAAATTGAAGTTTGACAGTTTCAGCACTCCCTACAAACACTCTTAATTGATGCTATTCTGCTATTTCTAAAACTGCATTAATAATGTCTCTAGTTTCCCTTGGAATCCTAGATCACAATTTTTATCAGAAGTTGAGCCAAGCAGAGTTAAACAATGATGCCTCCAAGGCTTCCATTCCTGTTCAATGTTTCAGGACAGAACTTGCCTAAAAGGGTAAAACCCTGCAAGGAAAATCTTAACTTACTGGGAGGAAAATATTGAAAGTCATGTCGGGCAAAGCAAGCCATAAAGCTTTGTGATTATCTGATTCCTAATTATTTTCTGTTCCTAAACTTCCATCTTCTCCTGGAAAAAGCTAGGGGCTCAGTTCAAGCAATCTGACAAGCTAAGGAATCACTGACTTGGATTCCAGTCTCAGTTACACTGTTATAAATCTGGAGCAACTCAATTGAAATCAGCAGAGTTACTCCAGATTTATATTAATGTAAATGAGATCAGAATCTGGCCCTGTTCATGGGGTCACCTGTGATGTTATCAATAATACTGCATCAATGCTTGCTATATCTACATATGAAGCACAAAGCAACTGCCTGGCAGTTTCACATGTTTACTGCACAATGTAATATTGATCAAAATTTTAGCACTGATGTGCAATATGCTAGTTACCAATTTATTTATAATGATCTGCAGCAGGTGTGTTCAGACTGGAAATAAGGCACACATTTTTAACAGGGAGGGTAATTAACCATTGGAACAACCTACCAAGGGTTGTGGTAGATTCTCCATCATTGGCAAAGTTTAAATCAAGATGGGATGTTTTTCTAAAAGACATGCTCTATTTCAAACAGGAATTAGTTTGGGGAAGTTCCTATGGCCCGTCTTATACGGGAGGTCAGACAAATGGTCCATTCTGGTCTTGGAATCTATGAACCTATGAATCAGAGAAGCTCTTTTGCATCCTGTCAAGCAGCTTTAACAAAGGACAAAAGGAAAGTGTAGACAAAGGACAATTCAGGTGATGTTGCAGTGTAGCTGCTTTTCTCTGGAGCATATAGCTGAGCCTGTCACATCATTACAGCTGTATTTGTCTTCTTTTGTGTTCAGTGCTGTTAAGTCTCCTGCATGCAGAGGATGACTGTGATAGTGGCTCCTGTCATACAACCATTGGAGATCTTCTAGTGGGTCGCAGTGAGCAACTAACAGCCTCATCAGTTTGTGGACTGACTGGCCCTCAGAAATACTGCATTATAGGCTACCTTGAGGTTGGTTTATTCTTATTTATAAAATAACTGCACATTATAAGAAGATGCTTCTAGATATGTTTAAATAATTAGCAGATGACAAGAAATATACCTGGTGAAAGTATATATTCTATTAGGGCAGGAAGACAGCTTGGTAGTAGCCTTCAGGATGATGTTTAATTTCTCAACAGAAATGGCAATGCATCAGTGAGACATAAGAACATAAGAATGGCCATATTGGGTCAGACCAATGGTCCATCTAGCCCAGTATCCTGTCTTCTGACTGTGACCAATGCCAGGTGCCCCAGAGGGAATGAACCGAACAGGCAATCAGCAAGTGATGCATCACCTGTCATCCACTCCCAGCTTCTGGCAGTCAGAGGCTAGGGATACCCAGAGTATAGAGTTGCATCCCTGACCATCTTGGCCAATAGCCATTGATGGAACTATCCTCCATGAATTTATCTAGTTCTTTTTTCAACCCCGTTACAGTTAACATTCCCTGGCAACAAGTTCCACAGATTGACTGTTCAAGGAAGTACTGTGAAGAAGTACTTCCTTTTGTTTGTTTTAAACTTGCTGCCTGTTAATTTCACAGGGTGACCCCTAGTTCTTGTGTTATGTGAAGGAGAAAATAACAGTTCCCTATTCACTTTCTCAACACCATTCATGATTGTATAGACCTCAATCATATCCCCCCTTGGTCATCTCTTTTCAAGCTGAAAAGTCCCAGTCTTTTTAAACTTCCATACCCTTAAATCATTTTTTTTTTGCCCTTCTCTGTACCTTTTTCAATTCTAGTATATCTTTTTTGAGATGTGGCAATCAGAACTGCACGCAGTATTCAAGGTGTGGGTGTACCATGGCTTTATATAGTGGCATGATGATATTTTCTCTCTTCTTATCTATCCCTTTCTTAATGATTCCTAACATTCCGTTCGCTTTTTTGACTGCTACTGCACATTGAGCGGATGTTTTCAGAGAACTATCCACAATGACTCCCAAGATCTTTTTTGAGTCTTAACAATTAATGTAGACTGCATCATTTTGTTTGTATTGTTGGGATTATGTTTTCTAATATGCATTACTTTGCATTTATCAAAATTGAATTTCATCTACCATTTTGTTGCCCAGTCACACAGTTTTGTGAGATCCTTTTGTAGCTCTTTGTAGTCTGCTTGGGACTTAACTATCTCGAGTAGGTTTTCTATCATCTGCAAATTTTGCCCCCTCTTTTTTGTTCACCTCTTTTTTCCAGATCATCTATGAATATGTTGAACAGCACTGGTCATAGTACAGATTCCTGGGGGGCACCGCTATTTACCTCCTTCCATTCTGAAAACTGACCATTTATTCCTACCCTTTGTAGCCTGTTTTTTAACCAGTTACTGATCCATGAGAGGACCTTCCTTCTTATCCCATGACTACTCAATGTATTCACAAATGAATACATGAATCTCCAGTGACACTTTGCTGCTGCCGTCCTCAAGTAGTTTTCCTGTAAAATGCCTCATAAAGGCAAACATACACAGTATTTGTCAGTCTGGTGGGCATTCATGCATGTGAAGAATGTAGTTTTGTAAGGCTGTCTACACTTCAAGCTGGAGGTGTGAATTCCAGTTCAAGGAGACATGCCCTCACTAGCTCTGATTGAGCCAGCCCACTAAAAATAGTGTAGCCGTGTCGGTGTGAGGGGCTAGCCACCCAAGTACATACCTATCCAAGATGCTAAGCATATATTTGAGGTGGCTAACTCTTCCCACGGCTCATGCCACCACAGCTATGCTCTACCTTTAGTGGGCTAGCCTGGGTATGTCTTCTCATGCTGGGAATTACACCTCCAGCCCAAAGTGTAGATATACCCCCAGTGGCAAGATTTTGTTTCTTGTGTACTGCACCTATAAATCTTTTAGGTGCCTAAATGCCTTTCAGGATCTAATCCTAACTCCTACTGATTTCAATGGCGTTAAGCACCTAAATACCTTCGGGGTTCTGCGCCTAAGAGTCTGCTGGATGCAGTTGCCATTTTGTGTTCAGTTTAGATGTAGTGTGTTGCAGAGGAGACACATACACAATGTGCTCTCTTATGTTGCTGTTTTGTTGTGTAATTTAAAATAAAAAGTAATTAATTGAGCAACCATTCTTTGTGTATGAAAAACATAACAGCGTATGTAAGCTCTTTGACTATGCAGGGAGGTTAGGCTGATTTCCCGGACAGTTTTGTGACCGTCAGAGAGGAATAGGAGCCAGCATGAGCAAACATAGCCCTCCCCCGAAAAAGCTGCTAAAACTGTCAGTTCTGACATTGCGACACATTTATTTGGGTTGTTGTAATTCAGTGAGTTGCAATGAATTCAAAGCTGTTTGCACTAGATAAACTCATTATCTTGATAGATGCATCTTATCCCCTTCCACCTGGCTGCAGTGGGCCTTGCCTGCACTAAAATCAATCTGGCTTTGCCACATAAGGGGCCAGATGCGTAGAAACGTATGGAGGGAGTCTGCACGCTGTGTATGCCCTGGAGCCCAGCTCTGAAGGGACCCACATCTCTGTGCAGCTGAGCGTAGGCGACAGGGAAGTGATGGATAGGGCTCTGCGTATCCAACAGTCATTGCCTGTTATCAAACTTCCTACTGATATAAATGGGAGTTTCCCTGAGCAAGGACTGTAGGACATAGTCCCATGAAGTTAATAAATAATCATGAGAAAAAAATATTTTTCACTAAATACCAGATGTGAACTGCAGAGGAAGTTAATGAGACATTGCTCATTTTAGAGGTAATTTTAAAATTACTATTTATCACCTTCTGGTCAAGTGCTGTGACATGTTTAAAGTATAATATACTCCAGAACTAAGATAGTCAGATGGTGCATATCGAGCTAGTGCTGGTCATCTTATTCATTGTAAATCAACGATCTGATGAATTTAACCACTTTTTCCATTCTCAAATAGTTTGTGAATTAGTCCTATTTTCTGTGAATCTCTTCACTTTTTGTAATTATCCACCAAATAGTTTGAATGAACAATTCTCAGGCAACATGGTTATTCGTGAACTATTCCCTATAACGATTTACTCTGATATTTGTTTTGTGTGGCCTTAGATGCACATGTTGTTTACTGCAACTTTTTTAACCAGGAGATTGAGGAATGAGAAATAATGAATAGTGAATAATCTTGTTTGCTCATGCCTACCCTTGATAAGAACATAAGAACATAAGAACGGCCGTACTGGGTCAGACCAAAGGTCCATCTAGCCCAGTATCCTGTCTACCGACAGTGGCCAATGCCAGGTGCCCCAGAGGGAGTGAACCTAACAGGTAATGATCAAGTGATCTCTCTCCTGCCATCGATCTCCACCCTCTGACAAACAGGGGCTAGGGACACCATTCCTTACCCATCCTGGCTAATAGCCATTAATGGACTTAACCTCCATGAATTTATCCAGTTATCTTTTAAACGCTGTTATAGTCCTAGCCTTCACAACCTCCTCAGGCAAGGAGTTCCACAAGTTGACTGTGTGCTGTGTGAAGAAGAACTTCCTTTTATTTGTTATTTAATATCATGTGAATATGATATTGTTAAGATGAACAGCCATTCTTGAGACATTTGCACAATGATTTGTGTGATCTGACACTGGTTAAGTGTCATGTCGTCTCTAGTTATTATTTTGCATAGAGGATAAGAGCCTACTACTGCTACCACCTAATGGGGTTATTCCTTCAGCTCAAAGAGTGAAGGCCTGTGCTTTGGGGGCTTGACCCTATAAGGTGCTGAGCACTCTGGCCCCAATGCAGCAAAGGACTTCAGTATATGCATAACTTAACATATGTGAATAGTCCCACTGGAGTCAATGAAACTACTCACATGCTAAAATAATTGCTTTGCTGGAGCAAGGCCAGCATTTTTAACCAATGAGAGTCCTGCATTCTTTCCCCACTGGTGACCCATGTCAGGGGTTCTTACAAGAGAAAAGCTGTTATTGTAAATATTTGTGATTAGTGAACATGGTACAACTGAGCACCTCAAGTTAGAATCTGTCTCCAAGAAAGCTACACGAATGAGAACACTCGTGTGAACATTGTTTTACATTGGATTTTTTGTGATATTTCTGCTTATTATTATTTTATTTTATTTCTGAGAACATAACATTAACTGAAAAAATGATTGTCAACATTTGTATTTGATTAACAAAGATATTACAGCAGGTGAACAGCAGAAAGCTACTAATTCCCATATCACTAATCCATATCCCCATAATTTCCAATCCTGTATCATATTGCTTCAGAGGGAGGGGTAACCACAGCCCTGGAAAAGGATGTTGATTACATTCCCTCCATGCATAGGTCAGGGAGTGGAGGGGAGTGGGGAAGAACCAAGGCTCGGACAATCCCCACCCCCATGACCTCTCAAATCTCTTTTTAAAACCCATTTTGTCCCCACAATCATTGCTACCATGTTGTACTCACCAATAATCTCTCCACACCCTCATTTGCTGTAACCAGTATCTCATCTGTTGTTTCCTCTAAGGTTTTCTCCCCTTAAATTGTTAATTCTATGGAGCAGAGAGTATGACTTTATGTTTTGTAAAGTGTCAGGTACACTGAAAATGTTATATAAATAGTTTGTACTAATAACCTCTATGTGTCTCAGTTTCTTCATCTGTAAAATGAAGATACTAATACTTCCATACACAGGGCTGTTGTGAGATTCAGTTTGAGGCCATCAAATGGAAGATGCAAAGTACTAAGTGCCCTAATTAATAACATAAAGGAGGGCAGATGAATAAAGATTGTTACTGAAATTAGAATACATTGTTTCAGCAATAGCATTTTGGGATTGCATGCTCAGTGTGTGTTCTCTGATTTTGTGTGCATAATTGGCAGCTTGCTGAAACATCATTAGAAATAATGTTATGATACTGTTCTAATGAAAATCCAGAGTAACAGAGGGAACAGAATAGGCCACAATCCAACAAAGATTTATGCAGGTGATTAACTTTAGGCACTTTAAGAAATCCCATTGAAGGCTTGATCTGAACATTTTATTGAAAATTCTGATTCAAGATTCAAAACACAGCTTGATATTTATGTTTAGAAAGAGAGCACTGTATATATTTTAGTCCTGTTTATAAAGTGTGACTGTATGTTTCTAAATTGCATGATTATGTAAAATATGTGATTTAAAATATTATTCTACTTAGTACGTATACAAATTTTACAAGGAAAAGAAGAAAAAGTGCTATTGGAGAAGGTGTAAAACTGCAAATTTCAGAGATTAACGTAACCTGGCAGATTTTGCTATGTAAGACAAGCATATGCTTGTCATGTAGAGAGCAAAAATCTACCAGGCAAGGTCAAAGTAAGCAAAGTCAGTATCATATTATACATGTCCATACAAACCTGAGGCTTGGTGATCTCCACCCCTACTAAGCATTTTTGTAGCTTTAGCTTTCTATAAAAATAGCCTTTTAAAATGAAGTGTGTGGGATATTTTTTCTATTTATATATACACACATTCAGGGTCAGACACACCGTAGTAATGGTTGCATATAATATAAATTCATTAGTGTTTACAATCTATGAAATAATTATATACGTTACATACATACGTGTATATATTCTGTACAATATTTACTAATTCCCTGGGGATTATACACTTTAAAAACACGCAAACATTTTATATACAACATAAGACCATAAGTGAGTAGAACACCCAACCTTCCACAAGCAGGATAAAGAAAAAGGATCACCTGGCCTCCTCCCGAGGCTGCTAGCCAGCTTCATATTGGCATAAATGTGTTACTTGTATTTGGTGTCTTAATAGCAATGTGCAGCCAAGGATGAATCTGTTAGAATCAGCTGTTCATATATCTGTTTGTAAACCAATTTAATTTTTAAGAACATAATTTAATTTTTAATAACAGTTTAATAGGTTCTCCTTCCAAGAGCCTCTCCAGCCTTACGAGCACAAATCCTTCCCCGGTCCTCACTCCAGAATCTTATTATGCTCTCTCTCACACTGCCGGTGCTGAAAAACTTTATGCACCGGTAACAAAAGAGATAAAAGAGTTTTTAATTTTCTAATAAAGTTCCCCCTCGGCAACTCCCTGCCCATGAAACAAGCTCCTCCTGACATCAGTACCAAACACCATCACAAATTGATTCACATTTTCCTTTTAAGCTCCCCCTCCTCAGAAAAAACTGGGGGAAACAGGTATTCTTCTGGCATGCCCTGATGGTCCCCAAATTTGGGCTCTGGCTAACCAAGGCCCCCGTCCTACAGTATGCACATGTGTTTTTTTTGCACATGAGACAGCCCACTGGGCTCAATGAGACTACTCACACGTAAAGTTAAGTGTGTGCATGAGTGTTGGCAGAATCAGGTCCCAAGAGACAGGCCCCAATCCTGAAAACACCAAGGCATGTGCTAATCTACTGGACAATGGGGGCAGAGATTGCACTGATAGTTTGTCTTGCTTATTCTGTTTTTTAGGGTGAACAGAAATGCTTCCTTTGTGATTCCAGATACCCATATAATCCCTATGCCCATCCCAACAGTCACCCAATTGAAAATGTTATCACAACTTTTGAGCCAGACCGGAAAAAGAAGTGGTGGCAGTCAGAAAATGGTAGGTTACAGTCAAGTAATGTTTCTCAACTTGGCTAGTTTAGCTTATTCTAATCAATATTTGCAATCATCACTTTATGAAACTATAAGACAATATGGCAGGGATTCTCAACCATTTTATTTCTGAGGCCCCCTCTCCCCCAACATGCTAAAATAACTCCAGGGCCCAAGAGTGGGGGTGCGGCCCAGGGCTTTGGCCATGTGGAGGGTTTGGCCTTCAGCCATGGGGTTGGAGAGCTGGGGGCTTGGGGCTTCAGCCATGGGGTACCTAGGGTGACCAGACGTCCCGATTTTATCGGGATTGTCCCGATATTTACTTGTTTGTCCCGCGTCCTGACCGATGTTTGGTCGGGACACTGGACAAAGAAGCAATTTTTGCCCTCCACTCCGGCTCGCGTCCCACCCGCCCCGACTCCGCCCCCTCCTTCCCCCATTGGATAGCTCCCCAAATCCCCGCCCTGGCCCCGTCTCTTCCCCACGCACGCCGCTTGCGCATCGATCAGCTGCATGGCGACGGCGCAAGCGCTGGAGGGAAGCCAGACACCAGCGTGTGTGGTGCGGCCGCACACAAAGGCTGGTGCAGGAGGCAAAGTCCCAGGGGGGTGGGGCCGGGAAGGCCGCAGGAGCAAGGGGCAGCGAGAACCCACCCGGGGCTGAGAGAGCCCCGCAAAGGAGGCACAGACCCCCCCTTCCCCACCCTGTAGCTGCCATAAGCTCCAGTGAACAAACCGGAGCGCTCCCCCCTTGGTGTGTGTGGGACTGCCGAGCCGAGCCGCTTCCTTCTTCCCCCACCAGACTCCGCTCCACTCACGGGCGGGAGGTTTCGGGTTACAGCGCCCGCACCCCAGACCTTCCCCCACAGCCGCCGCGCCAAGAGAGAGGCGCGGACTCGGAGCAACTGCCCGACCCTCCTCCCTCCATCCCCCCTCCACACATCCCTCCTCCACTGGCCTCCAGGTGCAGCTGCTGCACCGCACCATCTTCTTAATCTTCATGGTGGCCGCGCCACACACGCTGGTGTCCGGCCTCCCTCCAGCGCTTGCGCCGCCGCCATGCAGCTGATCGGCGTGCAAGCGGCATGCATGGGGAAGAGGTGGGGCCAGGGCGGGGATTTGGGGTGCTATCCAATGGGGGAAGAAGGGGGCAGAGTCGGGGCCGGGGGGGCGCGAGCCGGAGTGGAGGGCAAAAATTGCTTCTTTGTCCAGGGTCCCGACCAAACATCGGTCGGGACGTGGGACAAACAAGTAAATATCGGGACAGTCCCGATAAAATCGGGACTTCTGGTCACCCTACCTCTCCCTCCCGCTCGCGGCTGTGGCTCCTTCCCGGCGGGACGCGCCTCCCGCTGCCCCGGCCACATGCGGCGCGCATCCCCCGCGCCTAGTCTCCCTCCCGCCGGGAAGGAGCAGCTGGACGCGCGCTGCATGTGCGCGGGGCAGACCGGGGGGCGCGTCCCGCCGGGAAGGAGCCGCAGCCGCGAGCGGGAGGGAGAGGCGCGGGGCTCCCCGGCAGCAGCAGGGATTCGGCCCACGCCCCCGCGCCACCCACCTGGCCCCTGCCCGCTCCGCGCTGCCCCCGACCGGACCCACCGCACTGCCCTGCGGGTTGCAGGGCTGGAGCAGCCTCCAGGCTGCGCTCTCGGCCCCGGGTGCAGCAGCCCGGGCAGAAGCCCTCTGGCGCGGCGGGGGGGTTCACAGCTGAGCCCCCCGTCTCCCTCCCTTGCCAGCCCCCCTTTGCCCGCCCGGTGCCCGGGTGCCGGAGCTGACGCACCAGCTCCAGGATCCAGGCACCGTCGCCACCCGCTCCCTCCAGGCTTGCGCCGCCATGCTGCAAGCCTGGGAGGGAGGAGGAATGCTGCGTGGTTGGGGAAGAGGCAGGGCCAGGGCAGGGATTTGGGGAGGGAGCCAATGGGGGAAGGAGGGGGCGGAGCCGGGGCGGGGGGGGGGCGCAAGCGCCAGAGCGGAGGGCAAAATTTCTTTTTTGTCCAGTGTCCCGACCAAACATTGGTCGGGACGAGGGACAAAGAAGCAAATATCGGGACAGTCCCGATAAAATCGGGACGTCTGGTCACCCTACCGTCTACCATTAAGTTATGACTCTTACTCTGAGGCAGGGCCGGTGCAAGGATATTTTGCGCCCTAGGCGAAACTTCCACCTTGCCCCCCCATCCTCCCCCGGTAACATCGGTTCATTGATGGGCAAATCCTAACGAGCCTTTATAGAGCCGAGGGGCCAGTCATGCCCAGGGGCTGCTTCCCAGATCAGGTTCCTCCCTCCCCACCCCCTGAACTCCCCTGAAGGGTGCACAGCTCCCCCCCCCCCGCGCCCCCCCCCCCCCCCCCCGGTGGCCCCTGCCCCGAGTCCACTCACTGGCTT